CCAGACTTTCCTTTCAGCAGTACTGCTGCAGTTCTGTAATGTAATGCAATTCTGAGTCCACACTATTCAGACCTTAGTGGAATTCTCTCTTTATCCAGCTTTATTAACCTTTCTGGGAAATGTATTTCTGGCTGCCAGAATTACAGCTGGGGCCTATGACTGGTATCTTTTTTGCCCCTGTCTATTGCACGTATAAGGAAGTGCCACAGTTCATAGCTTCTCTTTGCAGCTCCATGGCAGCAGCTGCCCACTGAGGCAGGCGTCTACACCAGCAATTTTACTTCATCAGTCTCCTGGCATTTCAGCCATCACCCATAGCACCAGATCGTGATCTGACTGCATTCAGCTCCAAATCCACAGTGTACATACAGACTTACATCCATCTGCAGTCTTACCCATCATACCAACACCAGCCCCACTGATAGGTAGTAGTCCATACCCTCTCATCAAAGGGTTCTGGACACATACATCCCATGTCCCTGCAGCTGCACTAGTCCAAAGCCACCACACAAATCCTAAAACCTGCCTTCAGCTCCAGAAACATAGTTCACTGCACAGCGTTTCCAGGTGGCTGGCTTGGGAACTTTTAGTTCCCAGCCCTTGACACCTACCTTTAGCAGCAGGATCTAGACCAAAGGTCGTGGCATCCCTATGAACAATGCTGTCTGGAGACAGTCCAATGCATGCAAGACACCCACTGTCTGTCCAGTTCTGCTCCCTGGCAAACTGGCTCAGTTCCTTGGCAGAAGAAGCCAAGGAGGTTATAGCTCAGTGGGACCACTCAGGCTAGAGGGCTGGCAAGAGATAGGAGAAGATAACAGTAAGAGAAAGATGATGAAGTCAGGTGGAGCCAGGTGCTGGAAGGACCAAAGTCCCAAGTCCTTATTGATCCAGGGGAAATCACCCACAAAGGAAATCACTAGTTTCCAGGATGATGGCTCTCCAAAACAGTAAACACGATCGTTCACATTTCAGCCCCAGAACTTTCAGAAATCCACAGCTAAGAGAATGAATTCTCTCACTATAGCCTTTTGATGAGGAAAAACTTCCAGTGGGAGAAGGTGGGAAAGTATAGGAAAATGATACATTAATGTTCTGAGAAATGATACCTAAGTAAAAATTAATTTCTAAATGTAACAAACTTTCAAATACTGTGTTTACTGAACTCCAAAGAGATACTATTCCAAAACAGGAGACAATATCTGGGGAGTAGCCCCTCTCATCCCAAGCTTTATTGTCTGTCCATCTTCAGAAGAAAAGGTTAATAGGAAACTGTGTAGAACTATGAACTAAGCCTACTTTCTCATTCCGTGCAGTGCACTGTGAGTATGCTTTGGCCTGTGCTCTGGTAGTATGTGACATCACAGTGAGAGGGTGTTGGGGATCTTTTGGGGTGACAGGCTTCTGTGTACACTTCTGAGGCAGCTGGTGATGTCAGCAGATGGTTACCTAGTGCGTGAGGGGGGAGGATATTAGAGCATACTTGGGAGCTGGGATCCAAGGCACCGGTAGGTGATGTGCCGTTTTACTTCTCCTGAATAAAGCAGTAAGTACAGCCACAAGCCAAGCCAAAAGCCAGTTCATTACATGAAATGTGATGGTGAAGAATTGAGTGAAGTCATGTGGGTGTCAGTTCAATTCTTGACAAATTAGCTGAGCCTAGGACATTTCAGATAAGGCAGGCAGCACAGCAGCAGGACTTCTGTGAATTGCTACTTCTTACTCCTATTCCTGAAGATACCAATATTCTTTGCTTAGGTCTTGTGTGGGATTTTCACACCATCCTTCTAAACAGTTGGACCTGGCCACTGGTAGAGTTTGGATTCTGGTTAGTTGGCTTGCTGGATGTTTCTGCCTTCCTGTGTTTGACAGACATGGTGATAGATTTTGATCTGTTTTACTTCCTTCTGCTGACCTTTTCTTTTCTCTCAATGTGGTTTTTGTTTGAGTTGAATTGGCATCAAAATAAATGGATACATTTGAAAAGACTGGTTTTGTTCTGTTTCTTTCACCAGACAGGGCAAAATTAGCTGGAGGTCCTACTTTTCTTGGAAAAGTGGTGTGAAAAAAGCTGGAAGCAAGTCTTTTGGCAAGTGATAATACATAAATAGCTTTTCTGAATACCTATTAAATGCACTGTCGTGTTATTATTATCCAGTAGAGCCAGTAATTGGTTTATTATGATTTTGGACCGGTGGTTTGTTTTTAACTTGGATAGCTTGGCCATTACATTAAAGTGAACTACACTTTAATGTTTGTGCCATGTACAAGTGATATAGCTGTATCAGTAATTTCCAGAGTTCACAAGTTTAATATATTCTGAAAAAAAATATTTTCAATGTTTCTTTTTCATGCTTCATCTGACCAGAGCTGAATGTATGGAAAGGCTTAGCAGAATCTTTTCCTTCATTTCATTCATTATTCAGCTGTTGAAAAACTCTGTTATTTCCTTCCAAAAAAATACTATGGAAGATTCAGAGTTGTGGTTTTAAGATACTATGGGAATGACCTGCCTTAGCTGTTATTATAGAGGGTGTGCTGACTGGAGGAAAAAGGCTTAGGACATCACTTCTACCCTCTAAATCACAGGGAAGAGGTCACCCCACGTGTAAATCTATCAGTACCTAAGTTGGATGTATCTCTGCCACCTGTATCTCCAGGTTTGTGAGTTTCTTTGGGAAACAAATAATTGGAAGGACTAAAGGCCCTGATACCAATCTGCGTCACTCCTTACCAGGCTACAGTGGGTGTTCTGTGCTGATGTGACAAAAGGGTCTGGGAAAGATGGATATCACAAAATCACAGAATCACAGAATGGTTGAGGTTGGAAGGGACCTCTGGAGGTCATCTGGTCCAAACCCTGCTCGGGCAGGGCCACCTAGAGCAGACTGCCTAGGTCCACGTTTCCAAGGAGGGAGACTTGACAGCTTCTCTAGGCAACCTGTCCCAGTCCTCGGTCACTCTCACAGTCAAAAGTGCTTCCTTACATTCAGGTGGATCCTCCTGTGTTTCAGTCGGTGCCCATTGACTCTGGTCCTGTCACTGGGCACCACTGAAAAGAGCCCAGCTCCATCTTCTTTGCACCCTCCCTTCAGATGTTTGCACACATTGATGAGATCCCCTCTGAGCCTTTTCTTCTCTGGGCTGAACAGTCCTAGCTCTGTCAGCCTTTCATCATGTGAGAGATGTTCCAGACCCTTCATCATCTTAGTGGCCTTTCACTAGACTCTCTCCAGTAGCTCCATCTCTCCCTTGTACTGGGGAGCCCAGAGCTGGACACAGCACTCCAGGTGTGACCTCAGCAGTGCAGAGTAGAGAGGAAGGATCACTTCCCTAAACCTGCTGGCACACTCCTACTCATGTAGTCCAGGCTACCATAGAC